AAGTTCTCCAGTTCATTTTATGAATCCAGACTATCTCAAATACCAAAGCCAAAGAAGGAATACAACAACAATAATGACAATGAAAGTGTGGGCCAGTTTCATCTCTGACTATAAAAACCACGTGTTTAAATAATATATTAGAGACTATAATAGAGGAACCAAAAGACTAATCTACTATAACAAAACGGCCTTCAGTAGAGGAGTGAAAAGACAGTTCAATTCCAGGAAGTCTATCTACATATTGATTACATTAAAAATTAAAGGGAAAAACCCGACCATTATCAGTATGTAGTGAAAAGACATTAGATAAAGGTCAAGCAACCAATGCCAAGGGAAACTTGAAGCAAAACAGGAACAGAAAGAAATTATTATGTGATTAAAAAAAAAAGCCCAATAACAAATCTTAAATGGCAAAAATTAAATATTTCACTTAAAATCAGGAATGAGACAGGCATCACTATAATCACTTCTATTGGTGATTCTAGCAAATGTAAATAAAATAACACATATAAATAACAGAAAAAGAGATAAAGTTCCAGATGCTGATGATATGCCTGTTTTGTTAGAAAACCCAAGATATTCTCATGAAAAAACAATAAGAGAACTTGCTGTGTTGGATTAATAAAAAATAACTTACAGAAATAACCCATCTCTCTCTATTCAAGCAAAATCTCATAGAAAAGGAAACGGGAAGAATATTTCATTTGGAAGACAAATGCCAAAAAAATAATTTGGTAAGAAAAGTGCAGAACATATATGAAAAAATTATAAAAATATTCTTGGGAAATGCAAGATAAAATAGAAACAAATGAAGAAGTCTATTATGTTGTATGGAATGACTTACTGTTATCAGCATGTTAATTCTCTGAAAGTTAATACATAAATTTAATGCTGTTCTAATTAGTCTCCTTTTTCTCTTCTATAAAATATCATGTAATAATTGAAAAGAGCCTTAAGTTCCAAGTATCCATATACAATAGTAATCGTGAATGAGTATAATCTTTAACTTGAGGATTTCTGAAGACTTTTCAGAATGATCAAAAGAATACTGAAAAAGGCAGTAACAATTTAATAAATATATCTCTATATAATAAATGTGAATACTAGTCTCCCATTTCCTTTTCAACAAGTGATGGGGTTAAAGGGTTAAGTCTAGGAGACTGGATGTTTGTGAGCCCCACACTGCGCTCACCCTGAGTGGTGTGGTCAAACTGGTCAAATGGTTGTGCATCAGAATCACTTATAGTGCTTGGTAAGAATATAGAATCCAAGGTCTCACCCAAGAGTTCCCTAGAATCAGAACCTGTAGCAAGAATTTAGAAATCACTGGCCAACTCTATGCTGCAATGATCACTTCTTGTTTCAGGGTTTCTTTTCTGAGCACAGAAACCTAGAAAAGGATGCCCAATGTTTCCATTGGGAAGACTCTCATTTAAATCCTCTTTGAGAAATGACTCATTTCCTTTTAGGCGTGAGAGTTGAAAATAGGTTTTAAAAAACAGATACAAAATAGATTTTCTACTGTAGCGAAAAATGCGATGTACAACTTGCTTTCTGTGTAGCAGGAGGCAGTAAAGGTATGTGGGAAGTAATACCATGTGTTGGTTCGGGTTTGAAACCCAGCTTGGCCACTTTCTGGCTGTGTTACCTTTGACATATTAATCGTTGTAATTCTCAGTTTCTTCACCTATAAAATGAGGATGAAAATAGTACTTCACATAATAATAGTACTTACCTCAGAAATACTATGATTAAAAAAAGTGATAGCTAAAAGCAAACAGAAATAACACTACTAAATATTCTCCACAAGAGTACCTTGGGATGTCAATGTCACCACATGCCTTAGTATGTGGCCGATACATAATAGGCCAATACATAGTAGGTACTTAATATTCTTTCTTTTTTTTTTAAACAGTAATCCACAGTGAGAAGTACACTTTATTGATTTCAGTACATATGTGTACTGAACGCAGGGCTTGAACTCATGACCCTGAGATCATGACCTGAGCCGAAATCAAGAGTCGGACGCTTACCTGACTGAGCCAACCAGGCGCCCCAGGTATTTAATACTCTTGAATCGAAGTTGAACATGGTGTGGCTCACTCTGCAGTTTTATCAAAGGCATTACCTATTTTCTTTCTCTCTAGCTCTCTTATTCATGTCATTTTAAAATTTGAATGTCCCCAGGTCATGCTGGTTTTGTGAATACAAATAAATCCACCTTAATACTGCAGCCTAAATAAAGTTTAATAATCATCTAAGTTTAACAATCACCTTCCCCTACCCAACGTCCCTCATTTATGACAGGAAATCCTCAGCTGGGTCTCCCAGGTGCTCAGGAGCAATTCCACTAATGCTCTACTGCTCTGGGCTCCTAGTCAAGTTATCTTGACTGTGTATTGGCTGCCAATGCCCTTCTACTGGCAGAGTCCTTCTTTATTGGTGGCAAGGTTGCACGAAGGTTGATGGCAGACTGGGTGAGAGAATGGCCCTCTCCCCTAGCTCTGGGTCACTAGGGTCCAAAATAGTACTTCTTATACCTGAAATCCCACAAAGTCATTTGTGAAAGTAATTCCTCAGTTTCTGGCCCTAACTTCTTTCCTCAATGGATTCAAAAGCATTTGAAGACTCTATGGGAGAGGAGGGAATGCAGGCATCACACTATTCCCATCATTCCTTTCGACAATTTCTCAAGGTCACCGGCAAAAATGTCCCCTTCCTCCTTCATTCAGAAACATACCCTCCAAGAAGCTCAACTTATACAAACAGATGGCAGGAGATGTCACTGGTAACCGGGTTCTAAATCCCAGTTTGGTCTCAGATAAACCACCCGAGACCTTATCCTTCCTTCTTATATCCCTGTCAATCAGAGAGAGAATACTAATTCAAAAGGCATCTTGTTTACTCCAAGTCTGTTCCTTTTTTGTGTCCTTGGAAAGTGAAACCACTGCATGGGGAGAGAAGAATCACACATTTCCGAGGCTGAGGACATCCCAGCCCTGAGTCACAGCTGCCTGGCCTCACTAGGGATCTAGTACCCCAGCTCCTCCGCAACATGGAGCTCTGGGGAGTTCTCTTTTGCTGGTACTGAGGTGTGAACATTTACAATAACAGTTAACATAATAACAATGGCACAACATGGGTAACCATTTAATTTTATTCCTTATTTCTCAAAAAGTTTCCTTAACATGCTATGAGAGTTACTAATGCCTTGTTACTTTAAATTCTGGTAAAGTATATGAAGACCCATGACATTAAGTCCATTTAAAAACTCTTGCTCCTTTCTGGGAAGAATAATAGTGCAAAGTGTAATATAGAATAATAGTTTAAGGGTAGTATAAAGCACAATATAGTGTAAATGATGATGTAAAAATGATTAACAAAAGGTAGTGGAGAATTCCTCCTCACCCTCACGTGATGCTAACCATGCATTTTTTTTTTTTAATTGAGGTTTCCAGGTTAATTCTGGGTGAAATACAGCCTCCTCTTTTAGATCCCTACTTCTAACCCCAGGGTGACATCCACCTTAGATATTTAAATGTCCCTTTCTCCACCACGAAACCTAGTTTTCACAAAGGAGGGATAAATAAGCTCACATTCAAGGGCCAATCTTGTCTGCGAGAAAGCATTGTGTATGTTTCCTGGAGCATTCTAGTGGAAAGGCACTAGTCAAAAACTCCAGATTGCAATGCTTGTTCTGCCACTCATTAACTATGAGATGTGAACCCAGCACAACAAACTTTCTGAGCCCAGTCTATTTTAAAAATAGCAAAGATATCATCAATTTTACAGGAGTTTCTAGGACAAATGAAGGAATGAAACTGGAAACACTCTCAGTGCAGTCCATAGTAGGTGCTCAGTTTATGTTAAAAAATTATGTTAACTCAAAAAAGGACAAAACCTTAATTCAGAGTGAATGGCTTTTAATGGTGGAAGGGCTTTTAACTGAGGTATTTGGAGGTTTTTTCTTTTTTTCTTTTGCCCCCTTAAATTATATTTTAAAGGTAGTTGTCAACTCTGTTCTTTTTTTTTTCTTTCTATAAGGAAAACTATACACTTGTCTCCATCTTCACCATGGTCTGAAATGAACCTGCTTAAGCCTGGTTGTGAAAGGGGCAGGGACCACACAAGTAGCTTTCACAAAAGTTTAGTAAGGGATGTCATGGTGGGAACTTCTCTTTCCAGTTCTATAAAAGTTAATTTCATGTAAGGATATTATTTCCTCCCCACTCCCAAGACACTAATCTTTAAAATGGTAGACAGTGAATATCTTTAATAATCTTTTATAGAACTGTTCAAAGGGTTTCCTAAATGTATACATTTTCCAACTGCAGTGGTTCAACATTTGGGGAGCAATAACTCTGATTCAAAAGTGTCCCTTATTTTCCTGTAGCTACAAAGCACCTATAGGATGGGGGCCCACTTAATTTTATTTTCTAACTTTCAGGCTGGGCTTAGATACCTTTTTAATTCTTGCTCCACAATGATGCTTGGGTAAAAGATCTGAGGAGCCCCTTCAAGGACTCAGATGCCCCTTTCTATTTTGTGGTAAGACGTCTAGAGTAGGATATGCACCAGAAACTGGCGCCATAGGGCCCCACTGTGGAGCAGGAGGAGGTGGCTCGAAGGCAGGGCTCCGGCCAGCGCCCTTTCGCATCTCCCCAGGAGGGGACACCGCCCAGGCGCACCCGTTGCTAGGTCCTCTGTTTGCCGCGTTCTAAAGGAGCCCTGAGCGGAACCAAGGCAGACCCGGAGGGGGGTGCCCGGAAAAGCTTAGGGATTGTGTTCAGTCAACAGCCAGGGAGAGCAGCTGCTCCTCTCTTGGTCCCTTTTGCCCCCAAGCCCTCCCGGCGCTGCTGGGAGGCGGAGGATTCCCCTCGTTCTTGGTTCCTCCCAACCGTCGCCGGCCCTCGGCGCCCTCCACGACCGCCCCGCTCCGCACGTCGCGCACCCCCGGTCGCAGCCCGCGAATGGTCTGGCCCGTCGGCAGCCGCCACCCCCTTCGGCAGCGACAGCTGCTCCAGCTGCTCCGGGTGGAGCGCCCGAGCCCCGAGCCGTGGCTGCTTAGGGCGGCGGGCGGGCGGAGGGGAGCACCGGACCACCAGCGCAGGCAGCCGGGCCCGGGGGCAACCGCCCGCGGGAAACCGGGAAGCGGAGGGGCAGCAGAGGGACCGCCTGCAGCCGGGAGGAGAAGACCAGGGCTGGGCTTTCCTCACCCCGGTGAGTACCTGCTGCCCGGATCCTTCCCGACCCCCTTTCACCGCCCCCACACCCCCGAGGTATCGGCCCCCACCAGGGACGGTCATTGCTCTAGGGACACTGGCTCCCGCGGGGAGCAGCGGAACCGGGAGCTGCTACTGTTAGGACTAATGATTCAGCACCATTCGTGCCCCGAGAGAGATTTGGGCGGAATGGGGGAGGGTGGGTGGGGGGTAGGTGGGACGAGGTCAGTTGCTGTGCTCTCACCTCAGTTTCTAGGCTTCAGAGGTACCTCCCGGGCGGGCGGTGTCGGGTGGGGTGAACAAGGAGGCTCTCTGCTGGCTTGTTCCGTAATTCCGTCCTTTTCCCAGAGCATGGTACAAACCTCTGTGAGTGTGCGGTGCAATCTTTAAAGTGTGTCAGATTAGTGTCTTTTTCCCACGTGTGAGTGAAGTATGGGGCCCTTGTCTATACCTGTCAGTTTTCTTTACTTCTTGCTCCGTTGGATACCTAATTCAAGCCATCGTCCACTCAGTTTTTCATTGCACAGCATTTCCCCCACTAATGTGTGAAATAGAGGCTGTGTCCAAGTTGTCTCGTGTTCAGAGTGGGTTTGCTTGGTCTTGGCATAGGAGGAAAAGATTTAAGGGAGGTAGGAAATAATACTTTCAGAGTTTAGACACTAACTTTTAAATATATTATTTCATTAAATCATCACAGCAACCCAGAACCAAAGGTGGAAAGTGAGGAGCCTGGAAGTTAAATTACATGCTCAAGGTCACAGAACAGTAATTTGAATACAAGTCTCCCTGACTCCAAAGCCCATGGATCTTCCACTGTATTACAGAGTTGTGTGTCCAAGTGTAAGGGTACATATAGATGGCCCATTAGATATTAAACATAAACTTAATTTTCGTAAGAGTGATCTCAAACAATAGCAACAACCTGTAAACTTACTGTATATGGAATTATTGTTCTTTTAGTAAGAAAGGGCTTTGAATTATGTGGAAAAAAACCCCATTTTCTTAGAAAGCGTTTGCCAAAAAATATCTGGACAACACTGCAAAGGAGAGTTAGGTCATTGCAGGAGATGTTTAACACATTTTTGGCAGTGATATATGGTGGATGCTCAAATGTTGGAAAAATCAATTAGGAAAGTAAAACAAAACAAAACACCTGGAAATCTTTTTCTTTTTTAAAACTTAATGGAAACATTTGCAATAAGAACAGTTATCTAGTTCATGGGGTGTGTGACTGAACTGTTTTTGTGGGGTGTGTCATCCCAAGATAGGGTGACAGATAAACCCAGACTGATAATATTGTTTGATTCATTTCCACTGTGATGTGGCATAGTAGGTGATAACTCCATTTTACAGACTAAGGAACTGAAATAGAAGGTTCAAGATCATATGGCTAGTAAGTAGTGGAATCTAGACAAGTATTGACTTACAAAAAATATGTGTGTTGTAGCAAAACGTAGTTCTGTGTAGTGGGAAACTGCATTGATTTGTTTTTGCTCTGCCCTTCAGAGTTAACAATTATATTGACCTGTGTACTCTTTCTGAAAAAATAACGGATGCCAGGTTTTTCTTTATCTGTTGCTTGGCCATTTGATTTGCCTTCCTTTATGATTTATGTATTCTCCCTTAAGATGTGAAACTCTTGGTGATGTCTCCAGAGGCAGGTTGCTATAATACAAATGCTCATTATCTCTAAGTACTGGAATAGTACTTGATGGCAGATAGGAACATAATCATCTTAGTCTGTCATTTCTAAAGTATTGAACTATTTACATTGGAGAATTATTAATGAGGATATTGAGAGACTAAAGCCCATTGCCTAAATAAAGCCATAAAATGGAGGCACAAATTTATATATGTTGTTCACACAAGACTGTAAGAGAAGTAGGATCGCGTGATGACACTTAAATTTGATTTCTAGGAGGTCATTTCTTTTTGTTCTTTATATGGCTGTAGTCTCTATCCTGAACGTGTGAGGCATCTTGCAGTCCAGTCTAACTACAAGGAGGATGGCAGAATTGGTATGAAAAAATAAGCAAAACTTATTTTTGATCCCACTACTATTTAAAAAAAAAAAAAGAAGGTGCATGTCCTAGTGATGGTCAGCGGGAACATTTTAAAACAGAGGCAACACATTTTATTTAGATAACATCACCAAGTGTGAATATAATACCAACCTGGTTTGAGCACTGCATCTTTTCTCACTCTTGTCTCTCTCTTTCTGTATATATGTATGTATTTGTTGAATGACTACTGTCTGCAGACCATTCAAATTCTTGACTTCAAGGAACTTAAAGTCTAGCTGGGGAGGTATTTACTTACACATGAGTAATTAACAAAATAATTAGAATTGGCCTAATATCAGGAAAAGGTGGTGCTATAAATGCTATATCAACACCTTAAGAAGGAGAAATCATAGAGGCTGGTTTCATAACAGAATCAGTAAACTCTTCATGGATGGAAGTGAATTCAATCACTCTGCCAGATGGGAAGGATTTGGATAGGAAAAGGCAAGCCAGACAGGGAGGTTCAGCTAAGTGCTCATATACTGTTTGAATACACAGTGACAAATTGTGAAGAACCTTGCATATCAGGCAGTGAAATCTGCTCCTCATCTGGTAGTCATAGGGAACTAGCGGTGTAGGTTCCTAAGCAGGCCAAGTTTCTCTTTGGCTGGTCTTGCTCGTATTCTCCATATTCCTTGTTCCAAGTGCCCTTCCAGAAAATGCTATAGTTCCTGGGTACTGATATTAAAAGGATTAATTGTCAACTGAACCCAGGAGTTTTCTACACAAGTAACATTTTTCCTCTTTCAAAGAAGCTTGCCTTTTTGAAAGCTTCCCCTTTCTGTTATAAAATTATGAACAGTTTGGAAACTATAAAAATATAAAAAGGAAAAAAAATCACCATACTTGTACTAACTAAAGACAAGCACTATTAATATTTTGATGTGATTTTTGATATTTCCTTCCACTCTTTTCTGTGCATGGTTTTAATCATGATATATATATTACTTTTTAAAATATTTTTACTTTCAATTTTATAACATTAATTTTCCCTTAATTACAACTGGAAACTAAACTTTAAAAATATCTACATAATTTTCCATTAGGTAGATGTACGATAATTTCTTAACCATTCCTCAGTGTTGCTATATTTTTGATGATAATAACTAACACTGTGATGAACATCTTTGTTCATAAATGAAATTCTTGGGCTAAAAAATATAAAATCTTAGTTCAATTTTTTTTTTAAAGATTTTATTTATTTATTTGACAGAGAGAGACACAGTGAGAGAGGGAACACAAGCAGGGGGCGTGGGAGAGGGAGAAGCAGGTTTCCCGCGGAGCAGGGAGCCTGATGCGGGGCTCGATCCTAGGGCCCCGGGATCACGACCTGAGCCGAAGACAGATGCTTAACGACTGAGCCACCCAGGCGCCCCTTAGTTCAATGTTTTTAAATTGAGATATAATTAATATATCTCAATATATATCAATATAACATTATATTAGTTTCAGGTGTAACATAATGATTTATATTTATATATACTGCACATGATCACCACACTAAGTCTAGTTAATATCCATCACCACACAGTTACAATTATTTTTTCTTATGATGTGTAGTTTGACTACTTCATGCAACTTTTGAAACTCTGCTGGATTCTGCATGTTCTCTGGGCATTACAAATTAACTATAAGATATTGGTGTATTATTAATTACTTACATTCACTCCTGTTTGTGGTTCCTCAGATTACACTTTTTCAGGCAATCTCCTCTTTTGATTAGAGAAACTATTTGAATCATGGCTACTGGGCAAAACAGATGAAGGGGATTAAGAGGTACAAACTTCCAGTTATAAAATAAATAAGTCATGGGGATGAAAAGTACAACATAGGGAATATTGTCAGTAATATTATAATGACTTTGTATGGTGACCGATGGTAACTATACTTATTTGGTGTAGTGGTGAGCATTCCATAAAATATAGCATTGTCGAATCACTATGTTTTACACCTGAAACTAATGTAATATTATATGTCAACTATACTTCAGTTAAAAAAAAAAAATCATGGGCAGTACGAGAAAGGCGGGCAGTTGGGGCCTGAGGAGAGAAGATGTAAATGAAGCTGGAGAGCGTGTTTGGTGAGAGTCGGCAAGAGTTTATAGTCAGAGAAGGGAATATATGATGGACTACATTCTGGTTTTAGCATCGTATTTGTGGACCTCAATTTCCTCCCCTCCATCCTCCCTTCAGGTATCTACCCCACCCTTATCTCTTTCAAACTTCAACTTCTTCCGTCCTCCTGTATCAGATTCCTAGGTCTCCGGCTTCAGTATCCTGGCACTGCAAAGCGTATGAACTTGCACTCTGATTTAGAGAATCCACAGAGGTGAGGGTGGGAATTTCAGACCTCCTTCCAGCTCTCAGCAGAAGCCCTGGTTACAGGGTACAAGGGAGTGTGGCGGACAGTGACGACTTCTGCCCTCTCTCCCTGGTGTATTGCTAGAGACGGCCTCTGAGAACAGTGGCCGTTGAGAGACACAGAACATTCCCAGCATTTCCTGTGGGCATTCAGAAGTTTCCTTCCCCTTGTTTCCAGTATCCCTCCACCTTCCCCTTGTTTCCAGGAATCCTTCACTGAAGGAAATTCCCCTGAAGGAGGAGAGAGACTACGCCTCCCTTACCCCACCAGTGGTAGGGACGAGTGACCCTACCTCCTTTGCTCTGGCTGGGCCTCTTATGCCCCAGTCTCTCACCTGTGCTTCCCCTGGATCCCACCCCCGTCCTACTTGGAATATCAGAAGCCACTGAGGCAGGGAGGCCATTAAGGGTCTCTGAGGACCAGCGGAAGGGGAGTCACTGGGATGTGAATGTGCCTTGAGGGCACAAGGAGGGAGCATAGGCAGGTTTTATAATGTGCCATTAGTCTTGGGAGACCTGAAAGGAAATGAAAACAGAAGCATCAACTTTACAGATCCACAATAGCCTCCTCCCCC